TCACAATCGGCCACTATATAATATGTTTTACCATTTACTGTCTTTGACATTATGACAACTCCTTTGAAACGACAGTTATCGGGTAAATGAACTTGCTTATTCAACAAAATCAAGGTATCCTATTATCTTGAGACTTCTTTGTGTATTTTTCATCATGAATCTTATTTATTTCCTCTTCCATTACTGTGCATTGTACACGCTGTATTTCTGTAGCATATTTAGCAGATTGTTTTGCAGAGTGCAAATTGTTTGTCATTGTTATAGATCAACTACATTATGCAAACCTCTACAACATCAAATACATAGAATTGTTGATAGAAAAAAGTTGTGATTGCTGTGGAACTCATCGGTATTATTATTAATATTAACAGCTTGATAAATACCAATGCCAGTAAAATAATCATCGGTTATGGTGTTTATGACGGGGAAATCAGAATTAACCCAAATCAGATAATGTTAACATGAAAAGTGACTATAAGTAAAGTTATTACATTTATGGTTGGTATTATAACATTTATATTTGTTGCAAAGGAGGCCACTTTTTGATATGTGTTACCATATTTGTACTGTATGCATTGAAGTCCTGACTACAACCAAACAATGTGGTTTTGGGAAAGGTTCTCTTATTCTCGTACGAGTAGTCCAACGGTTGAAATGTACAGGTATGCGCCGCTGTTTTGAACCACATTTCAACAACCGAGCAAATACTTTGGGGTCTTTTTTGGCGAAAAACCAATTTTTTAACCAAAAAGATCCTCAACATCGCTCTTTTTGGATTCATTTTTCAACAAGCTGCGGAACACCTCAACAAACTCAATAAGGCCAACATGCACACATCCACCCCATGTCGATGATAATGCTCGTAACATGTTCTTATTTCACCCTAGGCAACACTTTTTCATTTATGCACAGAAAGATTTTTTTAAATTCATTCAAAATTCGCGGAATCCGTTCAACTGTATAAAACATGGCTCATTGAACTGTTCTATGAAATGGAAGTTTGTAATTTGTATTTTGGTAGAGAAGCTTCTGTACTATTAGTTAATATTTTAGTTCCGTAGCCTTTCACAAGTAGCTTTTTGTCTGAAATATGTGAATCAATAATAACATTAGTCCCAGTCATTATATCGCTTGCCAATAGACAGAAGGTAAAGTTTTGAATACACTTGCTTTGTTGTTGTTCTATTATAACAATCTAGGTCACACTTATTTGACCTTTAGATAAGGTCGTCAACTTTTTCCTACCCACAAGTCATCATTCAAAATGGCCGTCTGGGGATTTTGATGTTCATCGTCTGTCTGATCTGTCATGTTTTGTTTTAATTTCGTCTTACAACGGATGGCATAGTTCTGAATACACATACACGTATCATCGTCTGAGCTGCATTGTAGTTACCAGAACGTATCTCCGACACTTATGATAGTTCGAATTCTACATTAATGAAGAATGGCAGGTGAACCATCGGTGACTTCCAATCCCTGCGATAATGGATTACAGTCATCGACGTGGACCGACAGTCACTCTGTTCATTACGATAATTCGGAAGCGGTGGAAAGTTCGAGGACGACCAACGAGAGGTGTGATGTTGGTATTGTGATTAATAATGTCAAACGACTAGAAATACTATCAGAGCCGGTGGTGCAGACTTTGAAAACCATTTCTACGTTATAAGGTATTTCAATAACAAATAATTAATACTTCACCATGTTTAATATTTTCCAAGTGTGTATACTTAAACTCCAGCACGATCAGTTTTAACCAATTTTACATCCTAGAACCATCGTCTTATTTACAACAAAACTGGCAACAGTATAAAATAAACATAAATATTTATAAACTAAACAATATCATTAAAGCACAATGCTTTCAGAGAAACCATACGTTACATTATTACCGAACGTTTCAGT